CAAGGGCTTAAGTAGAAAGCAAATGTTTTGAGAATGATGAGGGCAACAAATGTACAAATGTGCTTGACATACAATGATTCTATGTATGGATTGTGATAAAAGTTGTATGATCCCCCTAAAAATTGATTAACAACCCCCCCCCCTGCCAAACCTGTGTTCTAGAAGGTCCTCATTTGAGTCCTACCTCCACTTAAGCTATGTGCATCTTGAAAAAGTACTTAATCAGTTTGGTCTTTTATTATGTATGAGGCATAGTGCTGAACAGTCTAGATAACATTTCATCTTTAACTTTTGAGATAGGATTATTCCTATTTTATTTACAGATGAGAATACAGAGGCTGAGATATTAAATTAACTTGTCCAAGATCAAACAAAAAGCATTGGAATTCTAATTTAGACTTTGCTTTTATTTATTTAATCATTTTATTGGAAGCGTTAAAAAATAATTTTATTGGGTGCATGTATAACTCTTATCACAATCCATCCATCCATCCATCCATCCATCCATCCATCCATCCATCCATCTATCCATTGTGTCAAGCACATTTGTACATTCGTTGCCATCATCATTATCAAAACATTTTCTTGCTACTTGAGCCCTTGTATCAGATCCTTATTTTTTCCCCTCCCTCCCCATGGAAGCTCTTACAGATATAACATTCCATAGTTCAATCACATCAAGCAGTGTTGTAAAATTGCTACCACAATCAATTTCAAAACATTTTCTTTCTTCCTGAACTCCTTGATATTTGCTCCCCTTTATCCCCTCCCTCCCCCAACATAGCCCCCAGGAACCCTTATTATTTATTTATTTTTGCCATATCTTACACATCCAAGCTATCCATTCACATACAATTCTGTTGCTCAATCCCAGAGAGTGGGGTTAAACAGTCATCAATACTATCAGCTCCCGATTCCCCTCTTCTCTTCCTGGAACCTCAGGAAACCCTTACCCCTGTTCTATTTCTGAAGGGTTATCTATCTTGGCTTTCAATATACAGATGAACTTATACAAATCTGACATGAGTAATGAGGTAAAACAACCATGATAGTAAGGGGAGGAAATATTAAAGAACTAGAGGATAGTTATGTGCTTCATCAGTGCTATACCATACCCTGGAATTAGCATCCCTTCTGGGTGGCCCTTCTGAGAGGGACAGTCCAATTATCTTACAGATGGGTTTTGGGTCTCCACTACATCTATGCCCCTTCACACCAATTTGGTTGCTTGGTTTTGAATTTCTGATACCCTTTCCCATCAACACCTTATGGTCACACACTCTGGCATGCTTTTTCCATGAGGGCTTTGTTGATTCCCTGCTAGATGGCCACATGTTTGATTATAAGCCTTAAAGACCCCAGATGCAATATATTTTAATAGCTGGGCACCATCAGCTTTCTTCACCATATTTGCTTATGGACCCATTTTGTCTGCAGTGATCATGTCAGGAATGTATCATACAATGCCATGTTATTAGAACAAAGTCCATCTGCTTCCTTGTTATATTTGCATATATATACATATATAACCAAACACACACACACACACACACACACACACACACACACTAATGAAAGGCACATAGTTGGTATGTGCACCCAGTGAATGCACAGTCAGTCTGGAAATAAACTTCATTGTTTTTTGTGTGTATTTGTGTAAATAATACATGAATGGTCTAAAGCCAAAAAAAGAAAAAGCCTTTTAAA